TTGGGAAATTCAAGGCGACTATACTAACCGCCTGAAGGTGCGAAACCAGACACACAAATGCATAATCATTCAAAAAAAAAAAAAAAAAAAAAAAAGAAACCAGACACACAATTCGGCTTGGAATCACTCCTATTTCTTTTTTCTTTTTTTCTTCTTCTTTTTTTTTTTTTACTCCTATTTCTAGTCACCTAGAAAATAAGGTAATGAAATTCTCTGTAAATTGGTGGAACACTTTCATTTCGAAATTTGTGAACACACAGCTCCAAAAAAAAAAACACAGCTCCAATAAAGAGTAAAACACAAATAGAGTTTAGTGAAGATTTTGAGTGGTTTGGCTTGGACTGCATTACCGGCCCTCTTCCTGACGCAATTGAGATACGTCCCTTGCATGACATGGAGCGACCCTGACCCTGTGAGATAAGTTATGCACACTGGGGACACGGTTCCAGTAGCACACGAGCAAGGTGAAGTGTCCACGATAAACATCTGTGGGACGCGGACCGCGGACCGTAGATTCGTAGCTGTGGCCCTCGCTCCACTACTCTCCTACCTCGCTCCACTACTCTAGACTCCTGAAGTTTCGAGAGTAACGCCTCGGCTCCACTTACTCTAGACTGGAACTCATGACAACACCCTTCGATAGCTGTCAGAAAGAGCTCTCGAATAGCACTCTCCAATGGCACTCTCGATTTGTATAGAGTTCACAGCCTGCAACGCTCAGGTTTTCTATCCTCCTCGCTCCCACCCCCGCTCTGGCCTCTTCTTTTTGCGAGTATGCCTCCTGCCCCGACCATTAGAGCGAGCTGGCGCTGTCATCTAGCGCTGTAGAAGGGCTGTCATGTAGCGCTGAGAAATTTGTGAGTGAGTGCTTCGATAGTTCTCGAGTCTGGAGTAAGGGCCTCACCACACAGACTGTCGAAACGGCGTTTTCTACAGTTTTGCGTCGCCACACCAACTTTCGAACATAGGCTGCTAAAAAAACTTTGGCAGGTGTCAGAATTTGACTGCATTCGTTTCCTCCCGGCAGGTGTCAGAATTTGACTGCATTCGTTTCCTCCCGCCTGCAGCAGCCGAAAAATGGGAAGGTGTCCCGCCCGAATTTCGAAAAAAGCACGAGAATTTCCGTTGTCAGAGCGTCAAAGCTGACAGCCGTGCCTGCTTTGTCCCTTCGTGGTACACAGATGCTGTCGAAAACGGCATGGCAGCCTCGGACATTCTGTTCCCGAAGGTCCCACAAAGATGGCGAAGGGGGGGGGGTAACAACTTTCGACAGGTGGGATCCTTCGCCACACAGGGGGTGTCGAAAGTCCCAGTCCATGTGCACTCAAAGAGCAATCCTTGAGTTTCAACAGCCCGTGTGGCGAAGGGGGCGTAAACTGTCGACCGCCGACTTTTGAATTTTTTCTGACACCTGTCGAAACTTTTTGAGTTTCGACAGCCTGTGTGGTGAGCCTAAAAGTGGAGCGATGCTTCTTCTTTTAAGAGTTCTAGACCTCTGACAGCTCTAGAAGCACTCACAATTCTTTTCGTGAGTGTAGTGTAGTGGAGCCAGACCCATACACTAATTTCTGACATTCAGGCCATCTTCGCCACACCGTATGTCGAAGACCCAGGAAAAAAAAAGAAAAAGGGGCAAGTACGTTTGTGTCACAAACGAAGTTCAAAAGGGCAAGAAAAACAATAATGGGCAACGAAAAAATGGCCGTAGTTCGAAAAGGCAGTCATAACATCAGAAGGCGGTAACATCAGGCCCCGAGTTTGAAAAGGG